CCCCCTCCCTCTACCCCCCCCTTTCTACACCATCCTCTCTCAAGATAACATTACTTTTAATATAACAAAACACGCCCCGTCCCCCTTGACAATAACTCTCCCACCCTCCAACCTCCCTCGGTCAGTTTGTCCATTCTCTATCTGGGTCAAGGGGCGTGACAGGCAGAGACAGGCCTGGCCAGTTGATCTGATTACCTTCGATCTGCACTCTGATTGGACCGAGCAACCGGGCACGGTGTCCACTTGTCCACTTTATTGGGTCAAATCTGTGTCGTTGAGTGCGACTTGTGTAAGGTGATATGCCTCATGGGAGGGTGGGGGACTTCTTTGTTTTTGTTTTTGTTTTGGTAATCTGCAACGTAATGCACGTGTAACTTGTGTTTTAGAATTACGAGTATTGAAACTTAAATTACTTCCTTTAAAAAATGCTAGTTCATAGAAAGGAAGCTCATGAAAAGAAAAAAAATAATAGATCCGAAGAAACGTTTATTTATTTTACAGAATTGAATATTAATAATATACTGTAAGTATCAAAGTTCAACACTAAAATTGTGACTTTTGATTTTGTGATCAACCGTGTAAAATCCTTAAACAGAAAACGACATAGTCATGGGGAAAAAAAACCAAAGCTGATGGTTAACCCACTGCATGTTTTTACATGTTCCAATGGAATACAGCCATCCTGTCCTTTTGTGACAGTTGTAAATTATGCTACTATGGGGTACAGCTGTTGCTGATTTTTTTTAAAAATCCTTTGCTGTACTACGTGAAAAAAAGCCAACGATAGATCGAAATAATACAAAGGAAATTATGTAAAAGTGTGACTAATGCCATTTTCTCAATGTCGTCTCCATTTCGTTACATTTGAAAAGGTACATTTAGAATTCCGACCTCTTTGGTCGAGGCGTGTGATAGTTCATCTATAAAGATTACAATTACAGCTGAAGGAGGACTATCGTCCATTATACCGAAACCTTCTTACTATTGATTAGGCCTTTAGCCATTCTCCTTTTACACAAAAGATGAGAGTTTAGTTCCCAAAGGAGTGGGTGAGTAGGAGGGTCGGATTATTTTATCTAGCATAGATAGCGTTATGCTAAGAAGCAGTATACCACAAAACCAGGGTCGACCTTTATAGTCAATGGTGAAGAAGACACCTCCAAAATGATATAAATTATACTGATGGCGACGGAAAACATGGACACCGTGTGCAGGTTGCGCACGTTAAAGATCCTTCGGTGGTCCAAAATCAATAAGAGTAGGCTTCGGCCGCCAACCGGGCAAAAACATACAAAATTTCCTACCAACTGAAAATATTTAAAGTGTCTCGCTTGCTGATATGACCCAGTTGCGAACGCTGCAAAACAATTACA